TGGATAGGAAGAACCAACATTGTGAAGATGGCCATACTCCCAAAATTGCTGTATAGATTTAATGCAATCCCTATCAGACTACCACTGACATATCACACAGACATAGAGAAATCATTCCTAAAATGTATCTGGAACCAGAAAAGATCTAGAATAGCAAAAACAATTCTGGGCAATAAAGACAAGGCAGGTGGCATTACTGTTCCTGACTTGAAATTATACTACAAGGCTACTGTGATAAAATCAGCATGGTACTGTCATCAAAATAGACCTGAGGATCAATGGAATGGATTAGAAGACATTGAAGCCCCTGTGAACACACTCAGCCACCTTATCTTTGACAAAGGGGCCAAACATACTCACTGGAAGTAAGATAGCATCTTTAACAGATGGTGCTGGAAAAACTGGCTCTCTACATGCCGAAAACTCAAACTTGACCGAGGTCTATCACCATGCACTAAAGTCAAAATGGATTATAGATCTAAACATTAAAGCAGAGACACTAAATCTCCTGGAAGAGAAAGTAGGTGGAACTCTTGAAGACATAGGGCTAGGTAAAGAGTTCATGGTCAGAAATCAAATCGCACGGGTAACAGTTCAAAGAATTAACAACTGGGACCTGCTCTTACTGAGAAGTTTTTTTGCGTCAAAAGAAATTATCAGCAAAGTGAAAAGGTAACCTACAAATTTGGAAAAATCATGACAAATAAGTATTCAGACAAAGGTCTGCTCTCTAGAATCTATAAAGAACTAAAAACCACTAGGACTCCAATATTTAAAGTCCCAATTCAGAAGTTGGCATTCGAGATGAGCACACACCTCTCAGAAGAAGAAATTAAAGAAGCGAATAAGTATATGAAAAAATGCTCCTCATTGCTAGCCATTCATGAAATGCAAATCAAAACGACTTTGAGATATCATTTCACCCCAGAAAGAATGGCTATCATAAAGAAATCACCCAACAACAAATGTTGGAGAGGCTTTGGGAAAAAGGAACCCTTCTCCACTGCTGGTGGGAGGTTAGACTGGTGCAACCGTTATGGAAATCAGTATGGAGACTCCTTAAAAATGTTGGTCTGGAAATCCCCTTAAACCAGCTATTTCTCTTCTGCAAAATTTCTCAGATGATCTGAAAACATCTTATCATAGGGATACATGTGTGCCTATGTTTATAGCAGCACAATTTGTTACAGCCATATCTTGGAAAAAACCAAGATGCCCATCACCTGAGGAATGATTGAGAAAGATGTGGTATTTTTACACAATGGAGTATTATTCAGCTATTAAGAATGATAAACTGCAAGCCTTTACATTTAAGTGGATGGCACTTGAAGATATACTCATAAGTGAAATAAACCAGACACACATGTGTAAATATCGTATAGTCTCCCTCGTATAAAAACTCCAAAAAAGAAATAGAAATAGAAAGATATAATACAAGTAAAAGGAAAGCAGGATCTCACAGACTAACTAATCAAGAGAGGGAAAGGAGAATAGCTAGGAAACATGACAATGTCAAGCCATACAGTTATATGTAAATATGAGCAAGGCAATGATCCTGAGAATATTCAAAAGATATTTTTATCTTGCAGTTAATTGGAAAGATTCTCACCCTGACTAACTATATATACTGATACCTGTGAACTAAGCTACTGCACTGCAGATGGTAATTTGTAATAATAGTTTCATGTTGGGAGTGCCTGTCATTGTGGTATTCTGCATATGGGAGGCTTGTCATGACATGCCAGTTGCTGCTATTATGTCTCTCGGTTAGGTGGATGTTCAAGAATAAAGGGGTTGTGAATGAAAACAAGAGACAGGAAAAGGAATATTGTGGGACTGTCCTGCTTCAAGGTTGTATATTGTGAGATTATTGGACTTATGTGCAAACATGAGAAGTATGTAATTCTTTATCCTATGTTAAAATATAATCTAATGTTTAAAT